TTTGTAATTGAAACACCTGGATTTATAATTATCTGGATCAATATTTTCAATTAATTTTTTCATAAACTTTGTTGACTTTTATTAATTTAGAGTTTTGGAATCTAACTATCATTCTCGATTACATTTATGTGTGAATCATTCATGAGACTGTATGAGCACTGCATATATATACAAGAATGGCTCTTAAATCAATTGCATTGACGGGGGGGGGGGGGAGCAAAAGAATGAACATACCTCATCATTAATCTCAATCCGATGCAAGCGTATTGTTACCATTGCTTGCATTAAGTTCTGTGAAAACTTGCCAAGCATGTGAAGTTGGGATCCAGCGACACCCTTTGAGTGATGACCACCAAAATGATTACACACAAGTGCTTGGTTCTCTCCGTACACTGTAATGAAGGGAATACAAAATCCATAGAAATCGATTCTCATGAGTTCAGAAGTGTCCAGCTCAACCTCCAAAGGTTCCTCAAACCTTTGACCTTCAAACAGCTTCAATGTCTTAAGATTTCGATTATGAATCCTCATCCTTTGACTACGCATCATGAACAATTCTAAAGTGTCCAGAAATTGGAGGCTTGAGACAAGTGCTTGAATTGATCTGAACACACAATTGTTGTTACCTATCGCGAACGTTAATGATGTTATATTGTCAACCCCAAAAGTATATGCTCTTCTGAGACTATATAGAGCAACCTTATCCAATTTCTTAGCTTGATTTAAATACACTTTCTTAACATTTACTTCAATAGAATCGAGCTTCGAGAAGAACTCGAGCCCAAGAAGTTCCATTGGAGAAGACGATGCAATGATTAGGTTCTCAAGAAAGTTTCTTGCAAGATTTACAAGCTCCTGGATTTGATCGTCACGAGCAACGACATCCACCAGAGAGATCTCTTTGAGACAGTTGAATTCATTAAACCTGGATTTTCTATCATCGTTCTTGTCGTCGTCATTGCCGCCGGTGAGTGAGATGTTGGTCGGAAATTTGCAACCTTTCAAGTGAAGTTTGACTAGAGATTTCGAGAAAGTGAATACTGATGTGGTAAAGTGAAGTGAATATTATCAGAAGAATTCGAAACCCCTAAATCTATCGCCTTCACATAATTTTTCATGATCAGAGAAAGCCAATCGTCCAGGTGGGATTTCAACATCGAACCCTTCCCTCCCGACAGATCCATATTCAGACAAAAGTTCTCAATTATAGCTCTGCGATTTTTTAGGGTTGACAGAGATTTGTTGATTAAAGTGACGAAGTCCTCGAGAGTGCCATGTTCTTCAAGATCGAAGCTAAATTCGAACACTGGAAGCGAATTATAGATGCGTCGCCAAGTCTTTGAAACAGCCGATAAGGATGCTGAATCTTCAAAGGGCAAGTAAAAAAAGAGATGTTGAAGAATGTCGTCTGGCAACCGGAATATTTCATCGGAGCCGTCGAGCAGGGTGGTTTTTCTGGAGTTTCTGCTCAGCTTGAGTCTTTTTCTGCTTTTAGAAGGCATGTCTGAAAACCTGGATTAGACTTCAGACACAGACCGGGCAAAGTCCGAGGAACTGAAACTGATGCAAAGAACGAAGTGAGTTTCTAGAATTCAGAGTACTTTTTTTATCTTACCAAACTCGTGAAAGATCCAATATATATACTTAAAATAAAAATATCTGATTTGCATTCTAATCATTTTTCCCCCCTGCTTTTGGCGTATTTTTGCAATATTCACTGATTCATCTTATCAGCAATATAACAGAACAGTTTATAGTTCAATGTCTTCAGACCTATTTAATCTATCAATTAAGTTGGTGGGATGAATATTGACCATGGTACATGAAAGAAATGATTCTATAAGGTTATATTTATCCTGATTTTTTTATTCACTAATTAAATGGGGGTATTATTCCGTTGTGATATTAGTAATAATAAGTTCCCATTTTTTCTTGTAAATTCTAAATGACTTACTTTGACTTCATTTTTTCCTTGGTTCATCATTATATGATTTGTCTTTAATGATAGACGCAATTCATATGATGTACATGCAATACCTCCTTTCCTTTGATCATATAAAATATAAGACATTTTGATAAGAATAATTTTTTTAATTATATTTTTTTAAATATTACCATTCTCATTATATTCTCTTTATTCAATATTCTTTCATAGGTGGAGTATGAAATGAAAAGTTTTTTTTTGCAAGTTTATATTTTTATTTTCAAAAAAATAAAGTTATAAGGTATATTTAATAAGATTTATTTTTATATGCAATGTTATCTAAAAATGTCTTATAATTTGAAATGGAGGGAGTATTTTTTCTAGAGGTATGAATGCAACTGCATTTATATCACTAATTTCTTTTATTTGATACTAGTTTAATTTGCATTAATTTCATTAATTGTTGTTGAAGGTACTAGCATTATTCATGTATGTGTGAGTATCAATCTGATCTTTTCCGGTACACAGTAAAGGTACTAGCATTTATTCATTATGTATGGTTTTCGTTCAGGGGGAGAAGCCCCGTTTTATTTTTTGGAAAGTTAATCAGTATGCCTAATTTATATGATGAATTGTTTTAAGCAATGTTTTAAAAGCTGAACTGTACGTTTATCCAAAAATGTTGGTAGATCTTGGTTTTTATGGTCTGACCAATTATATCGATAATTAAACCAGTAACATGATAAATAAATAAAAGATAATATAAAATATTTATATAATACACGCACACATACATAAGAAAGAAATTCACAAAATGTCTAGTTGTTAATAGATAGCAGCACATGACTATAAATAAGCGACATTATAAATTATAATTTCATAACTTATTAAACATAGATGGATCTTCATTGAATCAGTTACGAGTAGGTTTAAAAATATTTATATTTGTACTTATCATTGTTAATTCGAGCTGGTAATTTAGGAAAGTCGAGCTTATTTGAGTTAAGTTCAATTCGGCTGAACTTATGAAAAAACCCATATAGCAAGCCTTGCCCAAATACATTAGGGTTTATTTGAGCTAGCCCAATTATCCGAATTGTCATTTTTTCCTTTTTTAAAATTAATTATTTTTATTATAATATAAAATATACTTTTTTAAACACTTGAAAAATTAGAAAACTTAAATTTTTTAAATTTTTTTTGTGGGTCTTAAAATTTAAAAATCAATATTAAAATATTTCAAATATTACTTTAAGTATTTTATAGATTAAAAATAAGAAAATATTAAAAACATTAAGATTTTTTAAAAAAATATCTATCAGAATGTACTCTAATATATGGTCAAAATATAAGATAAGCAAAAAATAAAAAAATTATTAACATTTATTATATATTTAAAAAAAATTAAATATCTATTTGGGCTGGATCTAATAAGGCCAAACATAAAAAAAAATGCAATTTTTTTTAAGTTTGACTTTAAATTTTTTTGGGTCGACTCGAATTACCAACTTTATTATTAACATCTTCCTTAAAAGCTGAAAAGTATTTTCAACTAATATTATATCCTTATGAAGGGTTTAAAAATACAGGTGGTTTTTTTATTTTTCTTTTTTAAAGCTTTTTAGCATTTTTTAATAATGACGACTCAACTCGGATCCAATCCAAATCAATTAGAAAAATATTTTTTTGATTCAAACTGAGCCATTAGCTAGTTTCTTCTGTTAGCCATGCACGTGAAGTTATATATAGTTTCTTCTCAAATTAATATACAAGTGAAGTTATCAAGCAAAAATATAGAAAACCTAAAATATTAATCACGACAACCTGATCCTATAATTATAATAAAATAAAATGACAGCGTTCTAATTCTTTTTACCTTGGATTCGAAAATTTTAAATATTTTTTTCCTCCAGTACGTTTAGAATCATGTTAAAATCCGTTTGAACGGATTAATTTTATAGTTTCTTCTGCGGCCATATATTGAGAGCGCCAGAACATTTCGATTTCATATCCAAAACAAAGCATTGAGAAAAGATCATGAGTATTCAGAAGAGAAATCGATCGGAACTTAGATTAATGTGTGGCTAGTTCCTTAATTTGTTCTCCATCATTATTCAGCTTTGTTTATGGATTAATGTTTTTTTTTTGTTTGTCCGTTGTGTGGGTGTCCAATAAAATATTGTGCTCTTTATGCTTTCTTATCGATATTGACCATTAATTTAAACTGATTAGGATGTCTTACATATAATAAAGTCTACAGAGATTGAGAATTTTGGATAGATCTTCAATATTGTTAATTAATATGGACTCCACCAAATCCTTGACCTAAACCTCAAAACTCAACCATATAAAAATTTATTTGTGCAGTAGGTGAAAAAATAGCATTAGTTTGACATTATAGGAATAAAAATGTCATTATAAAAGACTTAAATGGTTCTTACTTCTTAGTACTCCACTTGTGTTGAACCTGGCACCTTTTACAATTAGAACTTCAGTATATTAATGCCATTGTTTTTCCCTGAATTTTTTGGTTATGTTTTCAATCTTGCATGCGTTTTCTTTCAAGATAATAAAAATAATTTTGTTAGAAAATAACATATGTATGAAAAATTAGAATACTAATTATAACAACAACAAAAAAATCATCACCACTTTCATCAAAAGGGAGAATCTGTTCTATCCAATGTCATCACATTTCTCATCAATTTTTGACCACAGTACAATATGTCTTTAAAAAACTAAATCAATTTGACAATTTCCCATATGTTGGCTCAAAATTTGTGAAGAAGTAATATACACATTTTTTTTTTAAAAAAAAACGTTCTCGATGATGAATGATGACCCAAATCCAACCTGAATATAATAATCTAGCAGATTAATTAAATCATGTCACAAACTTCCACCCTAATTCAATATTAAAAGTTAAGCCATGCACGTACAAATGTTACGCACAAACACATGCGAGCTATATATATATCTTCATGACTAGTTGAACTTGCAGAGGATGTGTGTGTGTGTGTATATATATATATATTAAATACCCCACTAGTTTATTACCCATTTTACAAGGAAATTGTTAAACTGGAAATCCCAACCAGAGAAGCCTAAATTGGACAACAATTCCTTTGTTAGTGGTTTCAACAATAGAGAAAGTGCCGTTTTCTGCCATTTCAACTGGTATATCTGTGAGTTCCTCCTCATCAAACTCACGCGAGCTTCTGTACAATTCTAACTTCACGTCTGCTATGTAATGCCTCCAGCATTTGGGTCTGTTACGTTCAACACAGCATGTTGGATTCGTTTCCCTCTTCACCAACTCATCTACAAGGTACTGCATTTATTGTATATCACCAACAAATTAAGCAAATAATCAGCAAAATTTCAATGCCACAGAATATTATACATCCAACCTGCTTATATATGTTCATAATGATGAATATGCAGAAGATACAGTTATAATTTCATGTCTCTTGTATACTCTGTGTTTAACTGTTTATATATGGGAATAAATTTCAAATATTTTTTGTATAGGATGAAAACACAATGATTTTGTGAGATATTCCTTCTATCTGTATGTAAGTAGATAACAAAAGCACAATAACTATAGTATGGAATAGTTTTCATTTTAATTTCTAGAATTGTTATAACAAAATGGGGATAGCATAGGATACTGTAATATTATTTAAGACTTCCTTCCATGGCATGACATTTACCTATAAAGCTAGGAGACTAGTTGATATTATGTGACAAGACAAGAAGCTTCATGATACAATACTTCTTATAATTATGGAGTATGAAGTAATTAACACTTAAACGGTGTTACATATGTTATGCGTCTCTCTTGAATGACACAGGACACTTGAGATATTAATTAATGCTTCAGAAATTTAGATGTTGGAAGGAGAGAAACAATAATACTTGAGAAGAGGGATTTTATACTAATAAACAATTTTATACTATATATACTGCCGGGAGATTATGTTTCACTCAGTTCAATTTCTCTGGTATTCCTCTCCCACCTTCAACTCTAACTACTTTGCCCCATTAACATAAATTCACACGAACAAAGATTAAAGGATTCACGTATATATCTAATTTCAAACCTAGAAATTTATGACTCATAAAAAGAAGCATGATGGAAAACATAAGGGAACAACTTGGCTTGGAAGAAGAAGAGCATATTGTTGTTGTGATCTTTCAATATAACGTAATATTCAGGGAATTGTTGGAGAAATTGAAATCCCCGTGCTCAAAGTGTTCATGTGAAGAAGTGGCTCATCGTCTGGACTGTTTTTTTCACTTCAATATAGGGAGTTTCAGTTTCTTCAGAAATTCCTTGAGTAAGTATATATAGCTTATATTGGATGTGGTTATAATATATAGATGGTGTTGTCACTCGATCGACACACGCACATACTCGATCAACATATTCTCTTGAATTGGAGAAACAATTTAAAGGATTTGATTTTGAACAAATGCAGAGATATCACAACTTTCACTGATCCTCTTGATTTTGAGCTGCTATTACTACAGTAGCCTGACCTGTTCATCTAAGATCTCACACCCTCTACTCTTTCAACCTGGGTCATTAATTAAATCTCAACTCTGATACCACCTTGTTGGAGAGATTCACACAAAAGCTATTTTATATTATATACTGGGAGATTTTGTTACTATATGTTTTCTTTGATATTCCTCTTCACCTTCATCTCTAATCACTTAGCCCTATTTATACAAAGTCTCTAAAAGACTCTATTAGTTCTATTTTATTGACTTACCAAAAAAACTATAAACCACACTTTTTGTCCTCTCCTTCTTCTTACAAAGGGGAAAAGTTAACAGCTTACTTAAGAGGAATGGGATTGAACCTGTGACCTTCCACTAACTAGAGGAGCTTGATGCCACATGACCACTGGTCACATAAATCACACTTTTCTAGGCCAATCATGATTTCCCAAATACATAAATTAATCTACACACATATATCAAACTGATAGACTTGAATATTTTCGACTATAGAAAATCTGCGACTCAAATTTGAGTTTACTTTTTCAAGGAGAGAACTTGTTTGGATACCCCATAATAATCAATTATGGGTCCAAAACTAAAGTTTTGAGAGAGAAAAGAGTAAACAAACACCCATAATTTTTTCAAACTCCATTTAGCTTTCAAAACTCTATTTTGAGAATCAAATATAACTGGTAGGAGTTGTGAATATAGAGATAAAAAAAGTTACACATCAAGTAATTAGAAAATAGGTTAAGATTATTATATAAAGTTTAGAATATGTCTATCTAAATGATTTTAGCTATTTTGATGGACTAGACTATTATCAAATATATTTACAACTTGTTTGGATTGATAGTATAATCAACTTTTGGGGCAAATAATCAATTTTTTAAAAAATTACCTAAACAATCAAAAAATTTGATAATTAATTATTGAGTCAGAACCACATTTTGAAATAAACTTTGGTAGGTTGCTTTTAAATTCAATTTTACTGTTAAATAATATTTTACTTCTTAAATAAAGTTTAACAAATTTAATAATATTAACTACACCTTTATCCATAATTTAATCTTGAAAAAGCAATATCCTTTATAATAATTTATATCGTTAAAATTAATTTTAAAAAAATAGTATCTAAATATATTGTGTTATAACATAATCAATTAAAATTGAAATCAATCATATTAATTAATTATTTTTATAATCAATTATACCCAACTAAAATTTAAATGGGCCCTCAACATTATTCAAAATTGATTCTAAAAAGTCATCCAAATATTTTCAGGAGTGTTTGGATATCTACTAGAAAAAATTAATTATGAAAAAATTGATTAACATGGTTAATTTTCAATATAATTGATTATGTTATGTGGTACATAATTAATTTATAAAATTGATTAATAAGATTGATTCTAAGCCAAATTGAAAAGCAGAATTGAAAAATAAAATTGAAAATATGTAAAATTATGATTTTATAAAAATATATCCAAACCCATGTTATATGTCAAAAATAATTATGAACACAAAACTATGATTTTCCTAAAAATATGTAAAATATACCTAAACATGCCAAAATCAATTATAAACTTAAAACCACAGTTATCTCATAAGCTATTATTACTTATTTTTAATTTAGCTTTTCAATTACACTTCCACAAAAATTTACCAAAAATCATATAAATTTTATTATATAAATCATGATTTTGGGTCATAATTGATTGTGACATGTATGTGATGTTTGGATAGTTTTAAGAAAACTATTGTTATGGGCTCTTGTTTGATTTTGGCATCTAATAAAGGTGTTTGGCTATATTTTACAAAATCATGGTTTTAACCTTTAAAATTGATTATTTGAATGCATCCAAACATGCACTTTCAATTTTATCTTATTGAAATCAATTTCACAAAATATTATATCCAAACATCATCACATTCTGTTAATCAATTGTTGCCATGATCAATTTTTCTTAATTGAAATGCAACCACACAACTATATATTGATTCATGAAATCTAAATACAAGGATATAAAATACCATTGTATGTATAAAATTTTTTCCTGAAGTTGGCATCACTTACTCGAATGAAACCGGCCTTGTGAGGTGATTTTATGGTTTCTTCTTTATTCATCAAGATCATTAGACGAGTGGGATGACAGGTCCAGAACAAGGCATCGAGAAAATATGAATAATCTGAAGTTGGTGGAATGCATTCCAGGACCACCATGGTCACATTTGTTGGATGATAGCCCACTGCGTGTTCTTTTAGCTCTTGCAAACTTAGCGGATTCTGTCCATTCAAAGTTGTATCAAAGTCAATATACATTCCAGGAAAAGGTAAACCTATTCATATCACTGAAGTTAATAATTTACCGAGCTAGAATTTAATTTGCTAGCTATATATGTGTTTTATCATCTCCAATTCTTCAGACACACAAATTAAACATAAGGCGGAAGAACAATAACTTTTTTGGCTCATATCATAATAACTACGTTAAATCATCATATGGGATCCTTAGAGATTCTCCTAATTCAACTACGTTAGTTCTAAATATATCAAATAAATCTCTATGGAGAAACGTAACAATGATAGATCATTAATATTGATCGCAATAATATAGCAACAATGAATATTGTAAATTAATTGGCAACATGACTAGATCACAGCAAGCCTAGAGAATGGGATTCAACATCTAGAATAGAAAGAAAAATGATTTAGCTGCGCGCGCTGAAGCTATGTGCAAGAATGCCTCTTAATAAAAGTTGCACCAATTAACGCAAAAGCAAAAGAATTGACATATATACCTCAATAAAAATCCGATGCAAGTGTACTTCTATCATTGGCTGCATCACGTTTCGTGAAAACTTTCCAAGCCTGTAAAGTTGAGAGCTATCAATACCACCAAGGGGATGACCAAAATGATGAAGCTCAACTTTCTGAGTCCTTCTCAGTAATGTAATCATAGGAAAAGAAAAGCCAGTGAAATGGACTTTGCTGAGTTTAGGAGCTTCAATCTCCACCACTATAGGCTCCTCAAACCTTTGACCTTCATACAAAAACAAAGTCTGAAGATGAGAACTTTGAATCTGTATGTTCTCATTGTGATCCATAAACAGTTGTATCGTCTCCACAAGAGGGAGGCTGGAGATAAATGTTTTGATCGATGTGTAGGCACTGGTGTCCCATGTTAAGAATCTTAATGTCTTTATGTTCCATACCCCAAAAGCATATACTCTACGAATCCCATATAGAATCACTGTATCCAGATTCATAGCATGATTTAACAGCAATGTCTTAACGTTTACTTCAATGAAATCAAGCTTCGAGAAGAATTCCAGACTCAGAAATTTTAAGGGAGGATGCGTTTTAATAGTCAGCTTTTCAAGAAAGTCCCTGGCATGATCCACAATGTCCTGGATTTGATCATCACGAGCAATAACATCTTCCAGGGTTATCTCTCTAAGACAGTTAAATTCATGAAATCTGGATTTTTTATCATTATCATGATCAGCGAACGAAATGTTAGGCGGGAATTTGCAACCTATCAGCTGAAGTTTGACTAAAGATTTCAAAGTGAAAACTGATTGGGGTAAAGTGTAGAAGACATTGTCCGAAGAATCAGAAACCCTAAGATTGATCTCCTTGATATAATTTTTCATAACTAAAGACAGCCAATCATCAAGGTGAGATTCCAATTTCGATTCCAATTTCGAACCCTCTTCTTTATACGGATTCATCGTCAAGGAGAAGCCCTCGATTATGGCGCTGCGAGATCTTAAGGTTGACAAAACGTTGTCAATTGAAGCGACGAAGTCGTCGAGAGTGACGACATCATCGTCATGATCGAAGTTGAGGTTGAGGACTGGAAGAGAAGTCCAGACATTTCGCCACGTCTTTGAAGAAGCTGACAGTGATACTGCATCTCCAACGGGTAAGAAAAAGACAATGTGCCGCAGAATTTCCACCGGCAATCGGAGTATCCCATTCCCACCGGAGCCGCCGTCGAGCTGGTGAGCTTTTCTGCGCGGTTTGATTTTGAGACTGGCCATGGTTGGGTCAGTCTTTTTCCTACTTCTACTGTAAGAGCTGCTGATTAGAGTGAAGAAGTAAAGCCCTAGACAGGACACTGAAACCGAGAAGAATGAATTGACCCTTTTGAAAATTTCGTAGAATTGCTTAGACTTATCAAACACGAAACGATCAAAGGCGTGAAGGATCCCATCTATCTATATCCTTTTAAAATATCTGCTTAGTGTTGTGTCTGATTTTTCATCTTAAATTATAAGATATTTTTAAATAAAATTTTACATATCAATAAATCTCATTAAATACATTTAAAAATTTTATCTTTTCAAAATAAAAATATAAACTTCAAAAAATACTTTATTAAAATTAATATATTTAATGAAACCTTAATCTAATTAAAATTTCTTATTTTTTAGGATAAAAAAATTCCTTTAAAACTGCCCTATAATTTGAAAGGAAGTATATTACTTTGCCTTAATTTATTCAAGGTATTATTGATATCAAAGAGTATTCAATGTCTTCGGCTCATTTAATTCACCGATTAATTAGGTGGGATGTATTTTCGCCGGAACATGAATAAATATTCTTGTACAATTATATCCGTTTGGCTTATCTAATTAAGATGTTAAATGATAGTAATATGAATTGCAGTTATTGCTTTACTATTCATAAAAAATGACAGAAAGTTCCAAAAGAGAATTAATGACGGGTCTAGATAAAAATTTTTGAAAAATAAATTGTAAATATACAAATTCTAATTTAATTTAAAACTGGGAGTTTAATTTAAAATTTAAATGTATTATTCATAATTTAAACTTTTGAATTTTCAACTATTTGAATCTACATTTGCAACTTATTTTTTTTATAAAATTTATTTTTTAGATTTAAATTTTTATTTTAAATAGTTGATTTTGTTGCTTTTTCTAATTTTTTATGGACTTAATGAATTTTCTTTTTAAAAATTTGCACAGATGAATTCGTATTTTTATTTTTAATACTTATTATTGTGATTATTATTTTTCATTTTAAGAGATTAAATTTTTTCCAGCCTTTTGTATGATATAGTCTTTTTGAAAAGGGAAAATGAAAGAGAGGTCTTAAAAGGACTAATTAATTTAAGTTATGTTTTAAGTGTCAAATTTCAAAAATTTGTAACTCAATTTCTCAATTTTGCAATTCCCTTGTGATAAATTTACAACTTATATCTTAAATTTTAACAAAAAAAATAAATTATTTTATTCTTCAACTATGTTAAGATTTGAAAAATAAGTTGCAAATTCTTCACAATGTAGTTGCAAAATTAAGAGATTGGGCTGCAAATTTTTAGAGTTTAACACTTGAGACCTAACTTAAATTAATTGATTCTTTTGAAACCTCTTTATCATTATTCCTTTTAAAAATTGATATCCGATCCCTTTGGAAACTTAAAATGCATGATAAATTTTTGTATGGATTTGATACATCACATCATCCATGTTTCATTAAATAAAGACATGATATTCAAATGTCATTAAATATAAATTAATTTTATCATTAATCATAGTAGAGGAGAAAAAATAAAAAAATTAAATAGACATTCTATTACAAAAATGAAGTCATTGAAAATAATAACATGCAAGATTTTATTTAATTGCATTGGTGCAATTTTATTGGATAAACATGGATGACATGATGAATCATGTCCATACAAGAATTTTGCATATATGCATGATATATAAAAGTATAAATTAATATGCAATAAATAAATATGTTAAAGGTATTTTGATTGAGGTAACTGAATTTGCTTATGATGAGGTTTCAAGTTTGAGTTTTGAAATATGTAGTCATATTAAATAAATATGACAAAAGTATCCTTGAGTTATTTGTGAGGCCACTATTGATAATAATAGTTCAATACAGTGAGTATTTAGATTAGCCTAACTCCTAGATTTTCCAGGACATCGAGCTGGAATAAAAAACATTAAAATTTTATAATCCGTGGAAGTGACGATTAGAAGTTTAAAACAAGATAATCATCTGGTTAAAAAAAAGATAATAATTAATCGGGAAACATTGATCAATGTCTCCTACTTTCATTCATTTAGATCCAATATAGCATGAACTAAATCCAATTGCTGCGTTATATTCTTTCTGTAAGTTTCCATTTTAAAAGGTCATAGCTCAAGTTTTATGCATATTTATGAAGCCCAAATTTTCGAGTTTATGATATTGATATTTGGAAGTTGTGCCTACGGAGTACTTTACTTTAAATTATGAATCCTTCTATTCTTATATAGTCCTATTTATTTAGCCTAGCTATTACATCCTATTCTTAATATATACAAGGCAACTTTTGAAAGCTATTTTAGTTGTTAATATAAGATAAAATTAAAGCAATTAATATTTTTTATATTACCCCTGATTTATTTATTATCATTTGAATTTTTAGATAACAATTTAACATGGTTATTAATTGCAAAGAATGACAAAATTGAAAAGTTATATATATATATATATATATTAAGCAACTCTAAGAATATAATTATCATTTCTTATTTAATAAGAATAAAACTGGTTAAGTTCACCCTATATTAAGTACCATACGGAGTATATCTGATGTATATATCACTTCTTAAACCTACCACATTTGAACATGCTAAGAATAATCAAATAAATTAAAGTCGTGTCATGCTGGATAATGGAGTACCTTAAGCGCACGCATGCACACACACACACACACAAAATCCTTATAGAAAAATATAATCATTGATCCCTATAATTTCATCAAATTTTGCTACACACACACACACACACAAACACAATCTTTATAGGAAAACATAATCTTTGATCCCTATAATTTCATTAAATTTTGCTTTTAGTCCCTATAATTTTTTCAGTGTTTTTAGTCATTATAGGGACTAAAGAGTGTGAAAAAACTGAAACTATAGGAACCTAAAAATAAATATCATCCAATCTTTTTAAAATTATAGGGATTGAAAATACTGAAAAAACTATGGGAACTAAAAGCAAAACACGATGAAACTATAAGGATTGATAAGTGTGTTTTTCCTTATATATATTATGTCACTAATAAATATTTTGGACTAAGAACTGCCTCTGCAGTGAAGTGTAGGTGTTCTTGTTCGTAGGAAATGTGTGTGTGTTTTGTCGCGAATTTGAAATAACCCTAACTAACGTCAATCTCCTCCACATGATTTTCCAGAATTAAAGACAATTAAATCGCATGGAAATCAAAATAAAAGTCAATTAATGGAGTACCCTTGTTATTAAAAAAATAATAAAAGAATTTCAAAAAGATTTTGTTGAAATTAAATCAACCAAATAAAACCGAAATCGAATCCTTATGGACAACGTCCTGTGACATGACTCAGGTTTCAAAGACGCAGCTCTTGACATTTGCCTGTGGAAATCTTCAGACATATACACATCTTTCTTCCACTCCACTATCCCTTCTCTGCCCCTCCACTTCACTCTGCACGTTCCTGTTTTAATTTTTATGTTTATTTTTTGTTTATTAAAATAAAAACTTAACTAAAAATTATACTAAATCTGTTCACTAATTTGGATAGTTCAAATCTAATATAATTGGCCTCAATTTAACGTTAACAATTTTTAAAATTTTATAAATTGATTATTCAGACAAAGCACATTTCATATTAAATATTTTTTTATAATTTTTACAAATTTTTATTTTGGTAATAAAATATTAAAAATAAAGATAATCTTTTCACATGCTCTTTCCAAAAAAAATATTTTATAAAAAATTACAAGTTAAAAATTTTAAGTTTGAACCATGCATCTAAATAATCAATTTATAAAAAATATAAAAAATTAATATTAAATTTAAATAATCCATATTAAATTTTAGACTACCAAATTTATTAAAATTTTTATAAATTTATTTTAATAAATAAAAAATTAAAATATTAAATATGAACACTCCAGATACAACAGAGAGGCAGAGAATGGATGGTGGAGCGGAGGGAAGCTGAGTGTGTTTGCCTCTTCTTCTCATTCTTCTTCTGCAGTGTATATCGGAGAAATAAAAATAAGAGGGCCAGAGAGAAGCCTGATTATTTATAGAGGGAGGCATGTCTTCTTACTTTTATCGAAGCCGCCGCTGAAAGCAAACCCTAGGACCAGACTCTGAAGTGAAATCCACGAGATGGAAGAGAACCTTTTATACCCATCTCCATCTATTTTTTTTTCTTTTTTCTTTTTTGCCAGAATTATCGTATCTGCAATTCACATTTTCACATATTTTCATGTTTTTCCTTTTTGGGCGGAATCTAGAAACTCACACCTATCCCCGACAAATGTTTCTCATTTTTGCCAGAAATATCTTACCTTTTATTTATCTTCAGCCGGAAATATCTCATCTGTAATTTACATTTTCAAATTTTCAATTTTTTTCCCTCTTTGGGCTGGAAAGTGGAAACTCATTCACACCTGGGTCCTCCAGAAATGTCTTATCTGTAATATTTCACCTTTTTTTTTTTATGGTCTCACATTTTTTTTCTTTTTATATATATGGATAAGGACTGACTAACACACCTCCACATATATCTTTTTTGTAATTCACCTTTTGTTTTTCCTCTGGTTGCACAAATTAAAATTATAAAAGCAGCTAGTGGGGTCTTTCTGTTACAAAATAAAATAAATAAGTTATATTTATGTTTCAGGAATAATAAGATTATATTATGTTGGAATTTTTTTACCAGAAATATTTTATCTCTGCCAGTCGCCTGTTCTTTTCTTTTCTTTTCTTTTTTCTGGTTTCACGTATTTAAAAAAAAAATCATTATTTACCTCACGTACAGTATCAATGTCAACGATTGGGAACACTGTTCCCAGATGCTTTTATTGCAAGTGTTAGTAGTGTTTTTCGTATAATATACACTTTTTTAAAAGTGATTCTTCATTCATGCCAAAAGTCTAATTTCTCTTTTTTTGTTTATATATATATATATATATATATATTCTGATGCTGGGGTAGTGTGCAATTTCTTACGTGGAAATTGTC